CACAAAATATGTATGCTATATATATGTTATTTTCTACACTATAATTACAGCATCGGATCTTAACAGATCATTGAATACATCGATTAATAATTATTTTAATACTCATATACTAGTTTACACAAATAAACCATATCTGAATAAAAAGGCATGAAATAAAATGCTATAAGCTTTAATAGCTTATAAACGCGGGTTTACCAATTTTCCCCTAGTTCCTATTGGACGAAGAAAAATCCTGCTTTTCAATCAAATAATAGAAGTATCGTTGAAACAGTACAAAGGTCTAATAGAATATATATTATTATAACATTTTACAAGGAATTTTTTTTTGTTATAACACAAAAGGTGGTTTGTAACCAAAATTTTAAGTTACTGGCGTTTTTTGAAAAACTTCAAAAACTTCGATTTTTTTGAAAATTTTGTATCTTATAATTTGATTGGTAGACGAAGAGTGGAGTAGTCCATTTGTCCAATCAGAGACGGCATTTACAAATGCCCAATCAGAACTGACGGGAGAAATTAGGATCCCATAAACGCGTAGATCAAATAATAGTTAATCTTATTAATACTGTGAATTTAATTAAATTATATTGATTAATCAATTAAGAAATTATTTTTCTATTTAATCACTAAAGTTACGCAAATATAATGAACTTAAAATGAGATACTATATATCGATATTGTGAAAAGAAAATACTATAAATTCGAATAATCTACTTTTAATATATCGACTAATAATCTTTATACTGACATTAAATGTGAATAAAGTAAAACTATAAGGCATTTATAATTATTGGCTATTCATTAATTTAAAGAATTTATACTAACTTTTGATTAAATAATTATACCTAAACTATTTATATTTATCCGTTGAACTATTTATACAGAATCTACAAAATACAAATCCAAAATTATAAGTGCTACCAAGAAAAGCCTGTAAGTTCTTACACATTTATCATTTTAATTTTAACATTACATGATTTAATTTCTAATAATATTATTTAGTATTAAATAAAACAATTAGAAGTAAATTTTGTTAGATAAAACTTTATTTTGGTATTTTGTATATTAATATTGCTTACTAAAATATTAAAGACCCCCTCCCACGCACTTAAAAGTCGAGTAGGCGGGTCACTTTTAAATTCTATGTTACGAAAAACAATTATTTAACTTTGTATGGTCTAATATTTTATAACTGCCTTTTGCTTTAGTGAACTTGTTTAAACTTAAATTACATTTAAAACTGCCTTTTGCTTTAGTGAACTTGTTTAAAACTTAAATTACATTTAAAATAGTGCTAGATTTGTATTTTTTTTTTTAACTTTTTACTAATTTTTTTGTAAAATTAGCTAAATTTAGTATATGTAATACCAAAATTGACATTTTGATTTGTTAAAGTAGGAATACACTACAATGCAGAAGCACTAAATTTCTAAACTCAATATTTATAATTGATTTGAAACTAATCCTATATATTTGGTTCTATTTTATTAAAAAAAGGCAACTTAAATCTCAAACATTCTAATTTAACTACGTAAAAGCATTATCTTATTAATAATTGGTAACAGTTCATTGTTACATTGCCTACTATATCTAACCCACCTTATCCGCCGATAAAAATATATATATAACACCAATATTCAGTTTACAAATAAATTTAAACTCTTGCTATGGATAATCCTGAATTCCAAAGTTTAAATGAAATTATGCAATTTGGAACAAGATTGCTTGCTAAACCTTGTTTTTTATTGCCAGTATTGTCGAAATTCCATCTACAGTTTGTTTATATCAAATTCAATCGCTTTAGAATCATCATCTGCTTGATTATTGCATTATTACCATTTTATCATTTGAATATATAATACAATTGATTATTATAAACATTATTTATATTAAAATAAAAAACAATACATCGTCTCAATACAAAACATTCTCTTACCAATAAGTGCATTGCTATTTAATTTCATACTTTGTAAATTCAATGCTTTACTAATTAATGGAGTTAATGATCGACTAGAATAAATTGCTTGCTCATTTATTTTAGTTTGTAAAATATTTGTACTTTCATTTTCTGGAAACTTTATTTCGCCTTTTTCGACTTTCATAATAAGATCTTTAAGCCAATCTACATATTTTTTAAGTGTATAATTATACCTCTTATGTAATTTTCTTTTTTCTGGATCTTGATGCCAGCATATTTCCATTAAATCAACTAATTCTTGTGGAATGTTAATTGGAATTTTTGGACGAAGACCATTAATAATATCCAAAATAAGAAATTCATCATGTTTACGATCGGAAAATGGCCTGCAACCACTTATTACCTCCCAAATAATCATAGCAAAACTATAAATATCTGAAGCATGTGTAAACTTTTCTCCTTTTAATACCTCTGGTGCAACATATGGAATAACTCCATAGACTGCATTATTATCTGACGAATCATCTATTGGTTTACTTATTCCTAAATCCGCAATTGTTGGAAAACCATCCTGTTTAATAAGAATATTCCCACTATGAAGATCATGATGAATCATTTCACGTAAGTCCATTAAATCAAGACCTTCTGAAATTCTATGTAATAGTCTTAATTTTTCTAACCAAGATAAAGGGTTTTTACTTAAAAAATAATGTAGGTCCTTATTCTGCGCCAATTCTATAACTATAATATAATTTTTTGTTTCAGGATGCTGTGTAATACCAAGATATCGATGAAAAACGTCATCAAGTCGACCCTTACGGAAACCTTCTTTACAACGGAGATAGTTTTTTAACTAAAATAACATAAAATTTAACTGAATCAATTATAAAAATATTCACATACATACAATTTTATTGTATATATACAGACCTCATTTAAATATTCAGAATTCATTTTTTTAGAATTATTAAGAATTTTAAGAACAATAGCATAATTTCTTTTTCAACAGTATCCTCGCTTCTTAGAACTCCAAAGGGTAATAGGTCCATCAACCCATGTTGCTTTATATATCACACTAAACCCTCCTTTAGCAAGGTATTCAATATTAGTAAATTGTTCATATGGAATAAATTCTAATTTTGATTTAGATTTGCAACTTCCATAAGAAGTTTGTGATGATTCGATAAAATCGTCTATTAATTTATTACCACTTAAAACACATAATGAGGCCCCATAACAATCTCTACATTGATTGGAATTTTCATCATATAAAACCTTTATGTTATTATATTTCTTACAAATTTTCCTTTTTTTATGTCTAGAAATAAGTGAAACTGGATGTTCATTCTTTTTAACTGATTTTGTATCATGTTGTTGTAAATTATTAATTTGTCCTTCACGATGTTGAATAATTTCTGTATTATAAACATTTAGCAATCTTGTATTAGTTTGATCTTGAGTAAAGCGTGTGGTCAAGTTCATGGATTGATTATGATTAGTTTGATCCTCATAATTTCGAGTAATGCCTGCGGACAATTCTATAATCGAATTATTATGAATATTTAATAAACTTGTATTAATTTGATATTGAGTAAAACCAGTATTCCATTCTATAAACGAATTATTATTTGTAAAGTCAGTAGACCATTCTATAGGTAGATTATTATTAGTTTGATCTTGACTAAAGCACGAGGCCCATTCTATGAATGGATTATTATAAACGTTTGGCAAATTTATATTAGTTTGATCTTGAGTCATGTCCATAGGCCATTCTGTAGATAAACTATTATTAGTTTGATCTTCATCACCTTGAATAAAGTCAGCAAACCATTCAATTGATGGATTATTATAAACGTTTGGCAAACTTATATTAGTTTGATCTTGAGTCAAGTCCATGGGACATTCTGTAGATAGATTATTATTAATGTTTGATGTGCTTTCTTCATCATACATTATTAATAAATTACTTTTATGATTCTTAATTGCGAATTTGGCCGATTTATATAAAATCCGAACTTAAATTATGGAATATTCGAATTCGTGTAGATCATTCCATATTTAAGCACTACAGATTCGATAATTCGGTATTATGCTTCCATGACACAAAGGTAGGGATGTTAACAGTCCGGTCTGGTCCCGTCTAGTCTATTTTGGTTCAGGTTTGGTCTGGTCTATTATGGTCTTCATTCTTAACGTTAAGACTTTGTTAATCCAGACCGGTCCAGACTGGTCCGGTCTTAAGACTTAGAGCAGACCAATTTTTTTCGAGTTTAGACCGGTCTTAAGACTAACCGTGGTCTATTAGTCTAAGACCGGACCACATAACATCCCTACACAAAGAGTAGGTTTCTAGAATAGTCTTCTACTTTCCAAATAGAAAACGAATAAATGGGTGTCTAAATTACTTTTAAAAGTAATATCACAGGGTTATACACTAACCGGTCTGCTATTTTAATCAGCGGTATTAGGTACAATTAGTCTCGCTTGGCACTTTTACTTATACGCAAACACCATATCGACCGATTTTGAAATTAGCCAATCATGATTGAGAATTATTTGTCGTTAAAATTTATTACAAAGCGAGTTTTTATCTTTTAAACTTACTTTGAATCCATAATTAAATATATAGTATATTGTAATATCCACATGTTTAATTATTACAGTATTAGCTGAAAGTAAGTTAAAAAGGCCGTTGTCCTGAAAAATTGCATCCGAAATCACCCTTACCCATTATATAGCCAATCTTTCAATGACAAACCAATCCTTCACTACCCTAAAATACCCGAACGCTTCAACAACTAGTGATAGTTCTTTCTTTTACAGCTTAGAGTAGCTGATTTTTTAATATTTATTGCTTATTTATCTCATATTATTAGATGTTTCGTTTGTTATTCTCCACGTCACTTAATAGCAAAAGTTCGTGAAACAGGTTATCGAAAAAAAGATCAAATCGGTGGATATGCTTTCACGGATGAGTATCTACGCAGACTTATGACATTGCCTAGTTTTGTACTATAAAAAATCGGTTTATATAAATGTAATTGAGTAGTAACATAAATAAGCCTGTACCTATAGTCTACACTCGTACGTCGTTATACCTTAGGCGAGACCAACTGGATTCTGTGTTTTATATTACCCCCCCCCCAGCGTCCCCCCCTCTCCCTCATAGTAAAAAAAAATTTGATAAATATATATAGGGCTCCGGGCTATTTCGGAAA